ATAATATTTTAACTTTTAACCATAAGTAATTTAAAATACTTAAAAATTTATTTTTWATTTTTAAATTGACAATACAAATTTGAGGCTTTAATTTTGGAAGGATATAAATTATTCAGTTCTACAGAACTAATTACAACTAAAAATGTATATTTCATCCATATTTTTTTTTTTAAAAACACATACCCTTTAACCATAGGCGGTGGATTTCGATTATCGGCAGGTCGTTTGCCAGGTGTCGGCTGGTTTGGTACCATAGGGCCAGCACCGTGCCTCATAGGGCTAAATCCTTGAGTGGGAGGTCCACGAGCTCCCATCATAGCATTAGGTGGTACACCTTGAGGTATTGGACCACCTTGCTGGTACATGCCAGGCCTTTGCTGCATCTACAGTTAACATACARTATGATAATATAACAACGGCCTTTACAGTGAAATATATTATTAAAATAAACGCATACTAACCGGATACGTTTGATTCGGGTATTGGCCAAATCTATTTTGTACATTCGGGTTGGGAGGAGTAGGCGGAAAATTCGACATTTTAAAACCTTCAGTACAATAATTAATTTCTAATTGCTTACGAAATTACTTACGAAATAACATTAATATTAATTATTCATATAAATATTTTAAAGTTTAGATAAAATACTAATTCCAAACCGCCAAGTGTAAACTGCCTATGAATTTCTAGTTTTCTGCAATTGTAAACAAACTWACTGCAATACAAGTTATTGTGTTATCATCGGCATTCGGTACAACAATGAACAAATTAACCACGGTTTCAAAATGGTAGAATATTTTATACCTTGGTATATAAGTTAATACGTTAGATTAGAAAGCCTTGATATTAAAAAGGGGACAACTGGAGTGATAGCAGCCATTAAACATTCAAATATTTCCCGCCTTTTTTAAAATTTAAACACTTCAGCTGGAGACATTATACACTAATTTTTTAGCTAATAATCTTATTATAGCTAGTGTTTTAAAGTATTTGAATATTGATATTCAAATACTTTTACAAGAGTATTGAATAAGTTCATTTTTTAAATACAGTTTATCAAAAAGTATTCAATTGCATTTTAAAAACTATTTTATTCTATTGATTACTTTCCAATAAAATACTTTTTTCCAATTAAAATCAGAACCAAATAAAATCAATAAGCCTACTAAAATTATTTGGAATATATTATTAACTTAAAACGTATAAATAATTGTGATGAATTAATGTTTTTTTGATAATCATTAAATTTACATAATTGATGTAAGTATATATGTTTATAGTTTGATAAAGTATTCACCAATAAAATATGTTTTTCTTTATTGCTATTATGAATATGAATGTAATAGGTTTTCATAACATTGGTTACCTACCAAAGACTTTAGGTTAGATGGGTTTCCACCATAAATTACAATTTTAATTCCTGGTTCCACTGGATCGTTTTCTGTGAATGTATCTTCAAGTTCTGAAATTTATTATACATAAAATAAATGTAGAATATTATACAATATTTAAATATATTTATTTCTATGGTCCATATTCAGTATTGTCCTGTGCAATGTGGATAATATCACGATTGATGGTATATCTACCTTTATTTTGTGGCCGGGATAACGAAAAGTGGCCGCTGATGCACACGACCCTAGTGATGAATTTCTGTCCTAGTATCACTGTTGTTCTGCAGTATAACAAAATTATAAATCAAAGCAATGTGCAGGCATTTTGAATTATTAAATTGAAT